CAACACAACAACCATACAACGTTCAAGGGCTACGCCCGACTACAGCGCCGTAGAGCCGAGTCCAAGACGGGCACGAGATAAGTATACCGGGCCTGCTTGAGGGCACCAGTAAAACTACCCTGCGTGCATGTTGGTATTGCGCTGGCACGGCGGTTGCAATTGCCGCAGGCAGCTGCATGTCTTCACCATTTGGATTCCTCGGGACGATCAGGTCGTCGGTGACGTCGTCCTGGTCGTCTGGATCGGCGACCCATCCTCCCGCGTCTGCCAGCGCTTTTTCTGCGTCTGGGTGGATCCGCAAGAGCCTCTTCGGTGGCAACTCATGGCAGCCTCCATACCATCTTGTCGGGTCTTGCGATTCGACACGAGTCGACGCTAGATCGACGCTAATCGACGCTAAATCGACGCTAATCGACGCTAGCCGACACTAAATCGGCGCGATCTCATCGACTATCAAACGCTAATCGACGCGAGTCGACGCTAAAAATATAATTGAGAGGGTAGACCAGGCTCCCATGAGTTGCTGCCGGAAGCCTCCAAGGGAGCTGTCCGTTGAAGTAGTGCAGCGGAAAGGGCTGGAGCCAGTGCAGCGGCCCCTCGCCAGCAGCATCACCAGGCCTCGCCGTCACGCAGATGCCCGATTTCCGGATGGTCGCGCCCGTCTCCAGATCCTTGACGCCATTGATGTACTGATCGACCGTTCTCTTAGCGTATTCCATGATGGCTGTCTTGAGCGCAGTTTTCAACTCAGCCATCTCCTCTTCTCCGAGGCCAGACTGCTTGGAAAACTCTAGGAATGCTTGTCGCCCCTCATGGGAATTCTTCACCGCCTCGAACCCTTGTACGATGTCCCTTTCCATCAGCATCATCATTCTTTTCTGGAACACGTGAAGAAGACCAACAATGGGCGGCTTCGGCTGCTTGTTCCCATCATCATACGGAGCAGACTTTTTATCACAGAGAAGCTCGACCATGACATCGAAGGTGTTGATGGTACCGGCCGTCCCTGATCCCATGCGGTCGAAAGCATTTGTTTTGCGGAACTTCGTGAGACACTTCATCGGGCTGAATGCCAGCATGACCGACAGCTCATCCAGGAGACGAAACCAACTCGCAAGGCAAGCGAGCTTGCAGTCACTCTCTGCCAACAACCCACAATCTTTGCAGAACTTTGTGATTCGCCGGTCCATTTCCTCATTGAACCAACACTCGCCGCCACAAGCTTTAATCTCTTCCGCTGTGTCCATCAATGTGGACTCGCACTCCTGGGTGGTGTCGAAATATCGCATCAATCCTTTTGCAAGGAATGCCAGGACCTTGTGCCATATCTTTTGGCTCGTAACGTTTTTTACTTTGTCCGACGCTGCTTCGACTTTCGCCTCCCATTCTTTGATCAACTGCCGGACCCTGACCTGCATCTTTGCAATATCACCATCGATGCCGTCCATCTGATATTCGAGAAGGGTTTTGTGCACTTTGCTCAAGCCTGCTTGGGTATGCTTGCCCGGATCGAGCTGTTTCGAAAACTCGTTCTGCAAATATTTCGACCACTTTTCCGCTTGTATTCCCATTGCCGTTTGCACTTGCTGGCGCTTCTTCAACATATCCAGCCAATCTGCTTGGTCGCCAGGATACGTGTCGCTCTCTTTCTGCCACCTTCCAGCTTGCAGGTTCTCGTTCGTGTAGGGCAGCCCAAAATCCACGCATGTCAAACAGAAATCCGGATGTTTGTCCCCAAGCTTCTCATCTAGCTCGCGAACGTTGTTTGGCACAGTTCCAGCGTCGCGCATGACCGCGGACCCAAAATTCTGCAAACAAATTCGCCAACCCAACGGGCCAGAGGCGTGTTATGTCTTGGAGGTCGCTGACGTAGATAACGCCGATACAGTTGCTTATGAGAAGAACTCGAGTCCGCCCGCGCGAGGGCGCCCTGGCGGGGGGCTGTGGACCTAGGTGGGTCCGAGAGGGATCCAAGAGTAGGCGAAAGCGCCCACAGAGCGCCCTAACAGTCAGAGCGCCCTCTGGATGCGGACGTCGACAAGAGAGCTGTCGCTGTCAAAAGCGCGGCTGAGAGCGCCGGCCTCCGTTTCTTGGGGGCCGTGCACGGCCCACTTGGGACCCCTGTGGTCCATTCTTGAACTGCTCTTGCAGACATCGTGAGGCCCTCTGCTGGCCCTCCGTGGTGGCACGTCGGACCTAGGATATAATAACATCCTTAACACACAGAACGTCCGAGGGTATCCTCCCCAAGATGCACAAGAACATCGAACAAACACGAAGAACATTAGGGTACCGATCTCGATGTTATACGTAGCACCCCTCAGTCACGGATAAGAGTGTGGGGACGGCGGGGAAGTCTGAAGTCTGCGAGGCTCTGAAGACGCCCGCCGCAGGCGCCGAAGTTCTACAAACCAAACAACGAACCCGCCGCAAGCGCCGATTTCTCGTTAAAGCAATGTGGGTGGGTCGCGGGGTGGGTCGCGGGTGGGTCGCGGGTGGGTCGCAGGTGGGTCGAGGGGTGGGTCGCGGGTGGGTCGCGGGTGGGTCGCGGGCCAGGTCGCGGGTGGGTCGCGGGCCGGGTCGCGAGTGGGTCGCGGGTGGGTCGCGGGGTGGATCGCGGGCCGGGTCGCGGGTGTGGATCGCGGGCCGGGTCACGAGTGGGTCGCGGGTGGGTCGCGGGTGGGTCGTGGGGTGGGTCGCGGGCCGGGTCGCGGGGGGGACGACGCCAGACAACAACAACCACCACCACCACCAACAACAACAACAATAGAAACAACAACAATAGAAACAACAACAACAACAACAACAACAACAACAACAACAACAACAACAACAACAACAACAACAACAACAACAGCAATCATTTTAAGACTGTTCGCTCCTTTCTGCTCGAGTGTAATTCAGCGTGCATTTCCCGAACCCTCGATACCCACTCTCTTCATCTTCGACCATACCACTTTTGGTGGGTATCTAATTTTTCGCGAGTTCGGATTGATTAGCCAGGAAATTTCCAGCGAGAGAGCGATTCCTGAGTAAATTTGAAGAAGTCCCCAGCGAACGCGCGATTCCTGAATGGCAAGAGCGCGGCGTCTGAGTACATTGCGAGGAAGTCTCAGGCGGGAGCGCGATTGTTGAGTAAATTGCGAGGAAGTCTCGGGCGGGAGCGCGATTCTCGAGTAAATTGCGAGGAAGTCTCAAGCTGGAGCCGCTGTTGCTGTAAACCGGGTGGGGCGCTTCAACTGAAAAATACAATGTGCACCGGAGGGCGGATCAACAATAATGATTATTCAGTAATGAGGGCTCAACAACAACAATCATTTCAAGACTGTTCGCCCCGATGTGTTCACGTGCCAACCAATACGTATATCCCAAGCCCTCGGTACCCGCCCTCGTCGTCTTCGATTGTACCCCCTTGGGGGTATATCTTCTTTCCCTTCCACGTGCATTCAGCGCAGCCCCTGAATAGGCGAAGGGAGGACGGGTGAAAGGGGGAGGGAGAAGAATGGAGCACGAGAGAAATTGGCAGGAGGGGGGTAAGGAGCAGAAAACAGATGGTATAACCAGACGGGCAGATCGGGTGGGCAGACCCATAGCGGGCAGGTCGGGAAGGCGGGCCCAGGCGACCAGGTCGAGCAGCCGGGTTGCTGAAGAGTGGGTCCTGCATGAATCGCGAGGAAGTCTCGAGCGATAGCGCGATTCCCAAGTACATCGCGAGAAAAGCCAAAGCGAAAGCGTGATTCCTGAGCGCCGAGGGCGCATCGTCTGAATAAGTTGCGAGGAAATCACACGCGAGAGCGCGATGCGTACATGAATTGTGAAGAAGTCCCCCGCGAGAGCGCGATTTGGGAATAAATTGTGAGGAAATATCAAGCCAGAGCCGTTTTTGTTGTAAACCGGACTTTCCCTTACTTTCCGTGACCCGTTGTTGTAAGGCGGGGCCCAATTTGAGATCTGTGACTTTCCCTTACAAAAAACAGGGTGCGAGCCCCGGGCGAAGCACTTCAACTGAAAAACACCATGGTCACCGGAGGGGGGGGATCAACAATAGTGATTCTTCAGTAACGAGAGTTCAAAGGAAGAGCCGTTCCTGGACGCTTTTGGTGAGGGCGACGGCTGGAGCCCCCGGCTTTCGGAGGATAGGAGCCTTCCCTGACGCCCCTCCCTGGGGCGATCCCCCCCAACAACAACAACAACACCAACAACAACGGTCCGGTTCAGATACAAAAAACTGCTCGCTGTCTTTAAACAGCAGAAGAACCTTCTCGCTGTCTTTAGACAGCAGAAGAATTCGCTCTCCTGATTTGCATGTGCGCACTTGCGGAGCGGGCGTCTTTTGGTAAGGAGCCCTTCGTGGATATTCTCGCTAAGGACTCCTTTGTAAGGATTCATTGCTAAGGTTTCCTGTGGGAGATTCCTTGACAATGAATCCTTAGTGAGGAATCCGTAATACATATTCCTTAACAAGGACCCCTGACTAAATAATGTGTTATAGAAGGATTCCGTTTGAAAACATTCCGCACTAAGGATTCCTCAGTAAGGATTCCTCGATAAAGACTCCTGAGTAGGGATTCCTTCGTAAGGACTCCTTGCTAACGATTCCAAACTAAGGTCCCCTTGATCAAGATTCCTTGGTGAAGATTCCTGAATGAAGATCCTTGAACAAAGATACATTACGAAGGACTCCTTCGAAATAAGTATTCACTCACGGCTCCTTGACAAATATTCCTGAATAGAGATTGTTTGGCAAAGTTCCCTTACTATGAATTCCTTGTTGGGGATTCCTTTAACAAGGACTCCGTGGGTGCATATTCCTTACGAAGGATTTCTTATTAACGATTCCTTACTAAGGATTTCGAAATACTGATTACTTACCAAAGACTCTTTAGGAAGGATTCCTTCAGACGGACTCCTGAATAAAGGTTCCTTACTAAGGACTCCCTAATATAGATCCCTTGCTAAGGGCTCCTTGGTACAGGATCCTTACTAAGGATTCCTTAATCGAGATTGCTTACTCCAGGTTTCTCACATAGGACTCCTGACTAAAATTCGTCACTGATGGTTCACGCGTAGGAATTCCTTACTACAGCCTCCTGACCCAGAGCTCATGACTGAGTACTCCTCAAGACAGACTCCTCTCTGAGGACTCCTTACAGTGTTCCTTGATAAAGATCCTGTAATGGATTCCTGAATACAGTTTTTTGTTTAACTAAGGGTTCTTGAAAAAAGATCCCTTACTACGCACTTCTTCGTATCGGTTCCTTATCAAGGATACCTGAGTACAGACTCCTTACTAAGGGTTCTGAAATGCAGATTCCTTACCGAGGATTCCTCGGCAAAAAAACCTTACCGAGGAATCCGAAATACAGAATCCTTAGTAAGGGTTCATTCCTCAGGATATCCCAATAAAGAAGGATTCCTGAGTAAATGCCCCTTACTTTTTCTAAATATTCCTTAATTCGGGTACCTGAAGAAAGATTCCCCAATAAAGATTTCTGACGAAGGGTTCGCGAACAAATATTCCATACGTAGGATTCCTTTGTAAGATTCCTGACTTAAAATGCCTGAATACCTATTCCTTCTCAAGGATTGCTTATGACAGATTCCTGACTAAGGATTCCTTACAAAAGGATGCCTTAGGAAAGATTCCTTACCACATTTATCTTACTGAGGATTCCTTACTACGGATTCTGTATTAAGGATTCCTTCGTAAAAGGTACCTCAATAAGGATTCATGAGTACAGATTCCTGACGAAGGATTCCAAAGCTTGGGTTTCTCAGCAAGAATTCCTGAGTAAAACTTCTCAAGAAGGGTTCCTTAGTACGGACTCCTTGGTAAAGATTCCTGAATTAAAAATTCGTCATAAGGATTCCTCCGTAAAGATTCCGTACTCCGTGAAGATTCCTTACTAAGGAATCCTTAGCTACGATTCCTTACTAAGGACCCCCCAGAAAGAACCCCTACCCAGGATTCCTTAGTACAAGTTCCCTACTAAGGGATCCTGAATAAGGAAAAGGGGACGAGGTATCACACGTGCCGGTCGTGTGGTTCTCCTTCCTCCTCCTATTGACCCACCTCCTCCGCCTCGTCGCCCTCGTCCTCACCACCACCACCGCCAATATACTCCTCAGCATCATCGCCGGCGTTTTTGTTTGTGTTGTTCACATCATCATCAGAATCAGCATTAGCAGCACCAGCATGGTCATCGCCATCGCCATATTCATCGTCATGATCACCATCATCATCATCATCATCATCATCATCATCATCATCATCATCATCATCGTCACCACCGCCATCATCATCACCATCAGCAACAATATGATCACCATCTTCGTCATCAGCATCGTGATCATTATCATAATCATCAGCATCGTCATCATTACCATCATCATCATCTTCATCATCATCCTCATCATTAACGACCATCAACAACATCACCAGCATCATCATGATCATCACCACCACCGTCGTCAACATTATCATCTGAATCATCTGAATCATCATCATCATCATCAGTATCGCCATTGTCACCCCCATCACCAACAACACCATCAGCTTCATCACCATTATCGCCCTCGTCATTACCATCATCGATACCACCATCATCATCAGATCCTTTCTTTTTACAGCTTTCCCAAGCCTGGGGGGACGAAGTGTCCCATGTGACGACATCGTCCACCTCCGCATCCGCCGCATGCTCCTCATCTTCGTGCTCGTCTGAGCAACCCTCATCAGCATCACCACCACCAACACTACCAGCGCAACAACCATCATCCTCCATGGCACCCTCATCATAATCACCATCACAACCATCATCAC